GTTTGTGTGCCTTAGCGGTGCTTTTGCACTTTCAGAGCCACTCATACCTGGATGCTCAATGGTTCGAGGCCAGACAACCCCAATCTCTTGGTCCTCCAGCCTGGGGGATAGATTGAGGGTGGCACCTTATTACTCAAAACCAACTCCTTGTAGCCCAACGCCAAACCCGCTGCCTCGCGGTAAAGTTTTATGTACCAGAGGCTTTGGTTGAGAACTCTAATCGTTCTCTTGTCTAGGCTTGGGCAACCTGACTGTTTTTGCAGCCGGTCCGAGGGCGTCAAAGTAGAACGTTAACAGCTTGCTGCACTACTTGGACACGGCAGAAATCAGAACGCCGGATCGAAGGAATATTACATTTGTCGTGTTCCACCGTTCATGCTTCTTTTACTGAGCTACTTGTTTGAGAACAATACTTCAATAACACTGCACAGAAAATTTGGCTGTCGCCAGTTTTCTCGTGACCCGAAAGGACTTGGAAGTGCCAATCTACCGGATTATTTGGCCACGCCGTGCCTGCCGTGTTTCATCGTTCGAGCTCGTCTGCGACTAATTACGGCTAGAAACTATTTGAATAACAGCAAAAATCTTTGGCATTTGACAGCTCGCTGTTCTTCAAAAGGACTCCGAAGTGCTAACATTCTCGCGATCTCTTGTTGGTGGCTTCATTGTCACGACGCAGTCTCCGTAGAGTCTCCGTATGACTTACAGCGTGCTGCTCCCTGCATACGCTGAATACGCCTTCAGCTGTACGAAACCGATTGTGTAGACACGGTCCAGCTCGAAAAAGTACATTAAAGTAGGTACTTCTTGTGAGTTCAAATCGGTGGGTACTTTTCTCTCGCGCTAGTATCCAACATTGCTCTCGCTGTCTGCCCTTTAGAAGTTCGCAAGCGGATTCTCACTTTTCGTTGTTCTTACCTTCTCTTCTTTGCTGTCAAGATGGTTAGAAACGTCGCAGGTGTGCCTTCGGGTCTTAAAACAGCTGATACAGTTTACCCATGCGTCCTAGTGTGATGTTCTATACCTGTAACCGACTTGTCGGGTGGTATGCGGTGCGAGCTTTGCGGTAGGTGGATCAATGAGGCATGTACCGGTTTGCCTGCTGATCAGTATGCCCCTAAGCAAGCAATGAGAAATACCTTTATAGCCGTGAAGATTGTTTTAAGCTTAAACCTCAGCGCTGCGTAAACACGAAGGAATGCTTTGATTCGATTGTTTCCAGACTGACAAATATGGAAAGAGTGTTGTCTTTTCTGTTGACAACTTCAGTTAGGAAAGCTGATGGTTTAGTAGGTCGCCTGACACCATCAGTTTCTCTCGGCCTGGTGTAATTAGCGGATAGTAACAGTAAACTTATTCCGTCGACCTAACACCTTATACAGCAACACATTGTGCGCTACTTGGCGCTAAACAGTTGGAAGGAGTATGTGATTCCACAGCTAGTGACGAAATATTGTAGACCTTGCCAGGAAACCTATGCGAAGCAAGAAGAAGGAAGCTGTAAACCTACAGTGCAATAGTATCGGAGTGTACAGAGGAGCAGGTAAGCACATCGCTTGTAGAGCCTTCAGTATTGAGTTCTTTGGCGTCTCCTCCCAATGCCTGTTTCTACGCAGCTAGTGCATCCAAGCAACCAGCCACCCAGTCGCAAGCTTCTGTGACTGTGGCGCGTTGAGTAGGCACTCACGCCGCATTGACTCTTACACTGATAGCAGTGTCATCTTTAGGAATGTCACGTAGTCCACCGCCGCTTTTCGAAAGCAGCGACTGCTTGATGAGCTGCAATGGTTTAATGTTTGCGTTTCCAAACTGCTACAGCCCGGATTTATTGGTCTAACCGTACGGGAAATATTTAGGTTTTAATCTGTGCTGGTCGATATTTCGGACGTCAGACCCCGTTTACTGAGATTCGTTCTTTCAACACCGGACGAGCGATATGGGCTCCTGCGCTTCGCCTATAAACTCAAGGGTTCTGGGGTCTACTGACCCTTTAACTTGACCGCCCATTGACTGAAAGATTGAAATTGATGACCGCCATAAAGGACCTCAAAGCCCGTCGGGATGCGGGTGAAACGGGTCTTTGATTGGTGGGTTTTCGGGTGGTGAGCCGGTGGTCTACTATCGCCCTTTCAGAGCCCGTTCTGGTGGCGCCCGATCCCCGGCTTACGGTCCCAATTTCCTTAATGCAGTCCTCAGCAACCTGCGCATCCTGAGGAACAAGATGCGCGAGATTGGCACTCTTGTAGAAAGTTCCCGGCCTGGCTTACTTGCTTTCACTGCGACGTGGCTGTTCTCCGACATCCTGGATAGTCAAATGCTTTTGCCTGGCTTTACCCTTCTGTGAGCTGATTGCGCCTCATGCTGTGGCGGAGATGGCGTTGCTTTGTACGTCAGATCCACCTTGCCTAATTCGCGAGCATAATTCTTCCATTCCCCTGATGTAACTGTCGAGGCTCTTGCGGTGGGTTTGCGCTTCTTTCACGCAATTTAAAATTGTGTTAGTATGCAGAAGCCTCGAAACTGCGTTAAGCAGGTTCATTGATTGCATTCGTACTCACACGTCAAATAGGTGTCTGGTTATGGGTGATTTTAATGTTCTTGAGGTTGATTGGCGCAATTTCTGCACAGCAGCGTCTGGACGTTTTTCTAATGATCTTCTTGACCTACCCTTACAAGCATCCCTTCCTCAGTCTGTACAAAGGCCAACTAGGTGCATGGAGGTGCAAAGACTACTATTCAAGACCACATCTTTGCGAAATTGATGGACATTGTACGAGGTGTAGTGCATGATGCCCTGTGGTCTCCAGTGATCGCGTTTGCCTATTATTCAAATGTGCGTTAATTCGGGGACGTGAAAAGTGTATTAACAGGAGGCCAATTATCTGGCACGCTGATTTTCAAGCCATCAGGGACAAGGCTGCAGGGCAACCATGTATCGTTTCAGAGGATGCTACCGTCAGGTTGCTTGGGACAAGTTCGAATCTCTTCTTTACGAGAGTTTTCTCCCCCACAATCTCAGCAAGGAATAAAGTGGGGGCAAAGCCTCTTGGGTTGAATCTGAGGCGCGCAAGATGTTGAGTAGGCGATGCAGGTACTGGAGGACTTACCTAACAGCTCCCTCAGAACGTACCTATCATCATTAACGATGCGTGCGAATAGCTGGTAAACTTCATCTGTAAGTCGCAAGCTTGAGGTATGAACTAGCGCTGGCTCGAACCGCATCGACACATCCGAAACGGTATTTTGGCTATGTCACATGGACCTGCAATGCAAA